CAACCTCAACCTCAACCTCAACCTCAACAAGAATTGCATCCACAACAACATCGGCATCGGCAAAGAATGTTGCCTACACCAGAAACTGATACTGATGCTGAATCATCCTATCCTCCTCAACAGTCACGGAAGCAAAAGAAGGACAAGAAAGGAAAACCACTTTGTCGAACTTGCTATCCTATAAGTGAGTATGAAGGATTTGATGCTGTTCAATTTATCAAGATGGTGCCACATGCAACCAGGCCAATCCGAGCAACCGATGGAGCTGTTGGTTATGATCTAACCTCAATAGCTATGTATGTTATTCCAGCCTATGGAAGAACATTAATTTCTACGGGTTTAGCCATGGAAATACCCTGTGGAATGTATGGAAGAATTGCCCCAAGATCAGGGCTTGCCTTGCTACACGGCATCGATGTTGGCGCAGGAGTAATTGACCCTGATTACAGAGGAGAAATTAAGGTCCTTCTCTTTAATCATAATCAGGAGGAATTTGAAGTGCGCGCTGGTGACAGAATTGCTCAGATCATCTTTGAGAAGGTTTCTTTACCAAGAATGGTGGAGAAAGATGCTCGCAATCTCTGTGACATTCGGAATGATGAAAGAGAACGTAGGCCCTTAGTCTCTTTGAGTGTTTCTTCTGGAAATTGGGCTACTTTGGTTACAACATGTGGCTGTAGCTTTATCTTCCCTTCCCCAATTGTTGACCCAAGAAAATCTATCTGGGCTTTGGCAATTTTCATCTTCGTTGGGCTTAGGATGAGCCCATTCTTCTTGCAAATTTCCAACATGGATTTTATGTGCTTCACATGCGTCCTTTCATCTGGAGAGAAAACCAGGATATCATCAATGTAGACGGCAATGTAATCTTCAGTGCCCTTGAAGCATAAATCCATTTTCCTCTGAAAGACTGCTGGAGCATTCTTCAATCCAAATGGCATCACCAGCCATTCATATAACCCAAGAGGTGTCCAGAAAGCAGTCCAATCAATTGAATCAGGGTGCATGGCAACCTGATGAAATCCACTTTTCAAGTCAAACTTGGAATAAATACGGCTATGGCCCACCTTTGCCATTATGGTATTTATACCAGGTAGACTGTATTGATAAACAGCAGATTGCACCAGAAACTAAAGATCCAACAGACTATTCTGACTATCCAGTCATGAATAGTCTGTTGAGTCATCAGGATGAGGGATATATGTGGAACTATAGCCCAAAGGATAATCATCATCTGATTCCCATCCAGTTGCCAATATTTGTTGGCACTCTTCTTCAAAACTTCTTCCAGAGTAGTGGCTGGGAGCATTGTATTTGACAAGATAATCATATTTGCCACTAGGCTGGCCAAGCGTATCCCAAATATCCTTATCTGTAAGAATATTGAGGTCTTCCTTCTGGCTTGTTTGCTCTTCGAGGTATAACAGTGTCTCTTGCTGATTATGGGATTCATTCTGAATAGATTGAGCGTCATCGTCAGATTGCATAATTTCATTATCATTTGCATCATAATGAACTGGATCTGCACGTTGAGCGGCTACATAATCTCCGAATCGCAGGCTGAAATTTCCTCCAGGTAAATTTCGAGAGACAGCTGTTGTAGGCTATTGAGGATGTATCCTTCTGACTGGTGGTCGGATAATCCAGTTACGTCCTCGCAAGATAACTCTGGTTCACATACTTACATTGATAGATGAGCCAGATTATGACAGGTTCATAATTCAGGCATATTATTGCAAAATATCTATAATATGACAAACTGATATTATTCCAACAGTTTTTCTCAGATGCCTGAGTATTGATTAAAGTGAAATAATAACGACTGACTACCGACTCCACTGACCGACGCTACCGACAGTAATAACGACTGATTACTGACTCCACTGACCGAGATGGTGCCACATGCAACCAGGCCAATCCGAGCAACCGATGGAGCTGTTGGTTATGATCTAACCTCAATAGCTATGTATGTTATTCCAGCCTATGGAAGAACATTAATTTCTACGGGTTTAGCCATGGAAATACCCTGTGGAATGTATGGAAGAATTGCCCCAAGATCAGGGCTTGCCTTGCTACACGGCATCGATGTTGGCGCAGGAGTAATTGACCCTGATTACAGAGGAGAAATCAAGGTCCTTCTCTTTAATCATAATCAGGAGGAATTTGAAGTGCGCGCTGGTGACAGAATTGCTCAGATCATCTTTGAGAAGGTTTCTTTACCAAGAATGGTGGAGAAAGATGCTCGCAATCTCTGTGACATTCGGAATGATGAAAGACATGATGCTCGCAACTGGAGGAGCACCGAAGGATTTGGCAGCACGGGGAAAGCTGCTTTGCAGTACAAAAATGATGATTCAGACGATTCTTTGGAGTACCATGACCCTTTGGGATATCAACATGATGAAGAAGAATCTGACTCAACACTTAACATTTCTCATCCTTCGTGACGGGATCAATGTACGTACCAGAATTTACGATGAAAGCTGTGGTACGATGTCGACTTTTACTTGGTCGGATTACCTTTAATTGTAGAAGCTGATCAATATGTTTCTTGAAGCTTTCCTTCATCGCCGGAGTTATATGCTTCATTGGACGATCCAGGCCCTATATCTGGCAGAGAGGAGTAAGTCCAGTGAAACCCTGTGGTGAACAACAACTTATCCTGGTAAGGAATACTTGGACCTTGATCCCTAAATACAGATTATAGTGCTTCCTTTTGGTAAATAAGAAACCAAGATAGCTCAGACTAGTTAATATATTTTTACTCAGACCAGAAGATATGACATAATGAATATATGGGAACAAAATATTAAAGAGTGGTATGAAAAATCTGAAACTTCACGCCTGAACTACCTTGATCTTGCCGCATCCAGTAAGCCAACACCTAAAGAACTAGCTCATAATATTGCTGTCATATATGATCGTGTCTGTCAATTTCATCCCATTGCTGTACGATACCAATCTCTTCTGCAGCAAATTGAAGATAGGTTCACTTACGACTCAGGAATCCCTTTTGATGAAATGGCAGAAATCCAGGCCAGTCTCGCCGAGGAAGAGGATAACGCCATTGAACAGGCAAGAACAGCAGTTCAACAGTTACGCAAGATCCAGCAGCTCAAGCTTGAAGCCATCGCTAGAGCCGCTTGCAGTGACAATCAATACACTGACAAACTGCCAGAAGTACACCAGCAGACCTGTGAACTAAACGAAATTGACAGCGAATTGTTTGATCTCGTCATGCTGATGAGAATATTTCGCTATTGATAAGATCAACAGGTGGATCATTATTCTATGCTTATCTCTTTGGAAGAACGTGGTGGGCATAGACCAGTCTAATAATAGCTCAGATCAGAGAGTATCGTCAGGACCAACGACGAAACTATGTTTTGCAAAGAAGAGCAAGAAACGCACTTCAACGACTAAGGGGACGTCCTTCACCATCAAATACCTTAGAGTAGCAGCTCTCTCCTGAAGTGCAGTTACAATTGTCTATGGCGGAACGAGCAAATATAGCACCAGCCGAGGTGTTATACAGAACTAGACGAGATGATGCTCATCATCAAGTTTATGTTCACAGATCAGAAGAAGCCGTCCTTTGCGTAGGAGAAACGCAAGTTGAAAGGCCCTTCATCCAGGAAGAAAGTTATGATGGCTCTGTCTGGGAGAGGATGATCCGTTCATGTCTCTGAAGGGCTGGATAAGTTCTTCGAGTTGCTGAAGGCCTATTAGTACCTCCATATCTTCCGGTTCCTCCTTGGTTGGCCATTCTGTAATAGAAAACAGTGAATAAACTAGCCGCTCGGATTCTTCCTTCAAGTGCTTCAACCTGTTTTGACAATCTTAAACAAAGTTGAATTATGCTGTTATTCTGACGAATCAGTGTTTTGCAAAGAAGAGCAAGAAACGCACTTCAACGACTAAGGGGACGTTCATGGTCAGAAGGAATTTGAAGTTCGCGCAGGAGACAGAGTTGCGCAGATTATTTTCGAAAAGATTTCTTTACCAAGAATGGTGGAGAAAGATGCTCGTAATCTCTGTGACATCCGTAATGATGAAAAACATGATATTCGTACCTGGCGAGGCTTTGAAGGATTTGGGAGTACCGGAAAAGCTGCCCTACAACATAAGGATGATGATTCAGATGATTCTTTAGAGTATCATGACCCTTTGGGAAAACAACTTGATGAAGAAGAATCTGACTCAACCCTCAACATAATTGCTATGATGGAGGAAGCAGATAGAGAAGCAGAAACGGAGTACCCACAAATTGCAAAGATAAAGGCTCTGATCGAAAGACGACAGCAGAAGCAGCAGCCTCATTATCTTTTATCCTCATCATCAGCTGTAACTTCTCATTATAATCCTCCGCAGGATTCAATGATGGGTCCCCCAGGTTACCCACCAGCAACAGGACAAGGTCCTTCAATCAATATAGAAGGGATTTATCCTCATACTCGAAGGCTTTCTGCAACAAATGTAATGCCTTGACATGTGCTCTTTGTGCCAAGCATTACTTCAACCTCACTACGTTCATCACTCGGAAAGCTCCGATTCCCTACAATCAAAAGCCATTGTTACAAGAGCAACAAGAATACATCCGGTGGTGTGAAGCTGAGATGAAGAGGCTTCGGGAAGAAGCAATCCAATACAAGACTGAACTGGATCTGCACGTTGAGCGGCTACATAATCTCCGAACACAGCTACCCTCTTGACATTCTTCTTTTCCTTTGTGCAATCTCTGGCATAATGTCCCTCCTCTCCACATAAGTAGCAGATCGTGATTCAGACAAGGGGATATGAGAATTGGCAAGGAGGTGAAGCCAACTTATTGATTACTCGAGGATTAGTCGGCAGATTATCCAACACTCCTAACGTTGGATTTGCATATGAAATTCAAGGAGTTACTGAATTTCTAACATCTCGAGGAGTCAAAGCGATCCCAGGAGAACAAGTTCCCACTGATGTCTTGCGAGGACGTAATTGGATTATCCGAGCACTTGAAGGAAGAATCCGAGCTTTGGAAGCCCAGAAGTCTCCAGCACTTTCAACCGACGATCTTGTTGCAAAAATCGCAAAACTCTCACTCGGACCAAAGGAGAAGCCAAAGGAAGGGAAGGGACTTCTCAGAGTTCATCGTGATCCAAACAAGTTGCTACAAGACGAGCTTGATAAACTCAGGCTTAAGAATTCATAATGGCCTCAACATCCAGGACAAGGACGGTGACCCTGCCACGAGTTACCAACCAACCTCGGCCAACAACAGCAACACCTGGAGCACCACTATTTGAAAGATGGTGCCACATGCAACCAGGCCAATCCAAGCAACCGATGGAGCTGTTGGTTATGATCTAACCTCAATACCTATGTATGTTATTCCAGCCTATGGAAGAACATTAATTTCTACGGGTTTAGCCATGGAAATACCCTGTGGAATGTATGGAAGAGCTTATCGTGATCTAGAACGACTTTCATGCCGAGATGTAGATCACGATAAGCTTCTTCTTGCATAAGAGTTGATCCTTGGTAAGGGTCTTCAAGAGTAAACACTTTGTTTAAGATTGTCAAAACAGGTTGAAGCACTTGAAGGAAGAATCCGAGCTTTGCTTTGACTCCTCGAGATGTTAGAAATTCAGTAACTCCTTGAATTTCATATGCAAATCCAACGTTAGGAGTGTTGGATAATCTGCCGACTAATCCTCGAGTAATCAATAAGTTGGCTTCACCTCCTTGCCAATTCTCATATCCCCTTGTCTGAATCACGATCTGCTACTTATGTGGAGAGGAGGGACAGCTGCTTTGCAGTACAAAAATGATGATTCAGATGATTCTTTGGAGTACCATGACCCTTTGGGATATCAACATGATGAAGAAGAATCTGACTCAACACTTAACATAATCGCTATGATGGAGGAAGCAGATAGAGAAGCAGAAACTGAGTATCCGCAGATCGCAAAGATAAAGGCTTTAATTGAGAAGAGACAACAGAAGCAGCCTCATTATCTTTTATCCTCATCATCAGCGGTAACCTCTCATTATAATCCTCCGCAGGATTCAATGATGGGTCCCCCCAGGTTACTATAAAGAACCAGGAGATGAAGACTCAGATGCAATTTATTCAGTATCTGAAGGGATTGATGATACTGAACAAATCGGAGGAGGTTTGACAGAAACAATTTATATGCTTCGAGAAGCTGATAATGTTTATTGGCTTGGCAATGAAGGAGGATATCGGGCTCAAGTTAAAGTCTCACCCGAGATCTATCACTGTCAACATGAATGGGATCAACAAAACCCATTACCTGAAGACAGGAGACCAGAATGCACTACATGTAGAAGGGATTTATCCTCATACTCGAAGGCTTTCTGCAACAAATGTAATGCCTTGACATGTGCTCTTTGTGCTAAGCATTACTTCAACCTCACTACGTTCATAACTCGGAAAGCTCCGATTCCCTACAATCAAAAGCCATTGTTACAGGAGCAAAAAGAATACATCCGGTGGTGTGAAGCTGAGATGAAGAGGCTTCGGGAAGAAGCAATCCAATACAAGACTGAACTTGAGGAACTCAAGTTAATAATTAAGCTTCAGGATGATGAACGGGAACTAAGAATGAAGGGAAAATACAAAGAAGAAGAAATTCAGGAGTTGGAAAGAGAAGCTGAAGCTCATGTTCACTTTGAAGAAGGTCCTTCAGAAAAGATTCTTGCCTTTGATGAAGTTATTGCAGGAGAAGAATTCAAGGAAAAGAAGAAGAACATGCTTTACAATCTCACCGTGGAACTGGAGGTTCCAGGAGTACAACGAATCCAACTACGCGCAATCCTCGATACTGCTGCAACCACTTGCGTCGTAGATGCTGACTCCGTCCCAGAAGAAGCCTTGGAAGAAAATACTTATACTGTTGAGTTCAACGGTATAAATTCAAAGTCAAAGGCCAACAAGAAATTAAAGGGTGGAAAGATGTATATAGGGGACAATTGTTTTCGAATCCCTTATACATACAGTTTCCCATTTAAACTTGGAGGAAGAATTCAGATGATTATCGGGTGCAACTTCATTCGAGCAATGTATGGTGGAGTACGTATTGAAGGAGACAATGTTACATTCTACAAGAATGTAATAACAATCCAGACCCGTCAATCAGTGAATCTCTTGGAGGAGCTTGAAGAAGAAGAGGATTTCAGAGTAACTCCTTGAATTTCATATGCAAATCCAACGTTAGGAGTGTTGGATAATCTGCCGACTAATCCTCGAGTAATCAATAAGTTGGCTTCACCTCCTTGCCAATTCTCATATCCCCTTGTCTGAATCACGATCTGCACATGATTGTAGAAATCTCCAATAGTCATCATAGTATTAGGAACTATGTAGACCATCTGTATTCCTCGTGTAAGATCAACTTCCATAGATGCGAAGGTCGCTTGATCTCCCGTCCATCTTGTGTCTCGGAGAACTAGAACAGCAAGATTCCCCTGTTCTATCCGATGTAGGACTTGAAGTCGGATTTGAACAACTCCGAGGTGGATGTACTGCATATGGCTCCTTCGTAGTTCTTCATAACTTTCTTCCTGGATGAAGGGCCTTTCAACTTGCGTTTCTCCTACGCAAAGGACGGCTTCTTCTGATCTGTGAACATAAACTCGATGATGAGCATCATCTCGTCTAGTTCTGTATAACACCTCGGCTGGTGCTATATTTGCTCGTTCCGCCATAGACAATTGTAACTGCACTTCAGGAGAGAGCTGCTGCTCTAAGGTATTTGATGGTGAAGGACGTCCCCTTAGTCGTTGAAGTGCGTTTCTTGCTCTTCTTTGCAAAACATAGTTTCGTCGTTGGTCCTGACGATACTCTCTGATCTGATCTTCAAATAGTGGTGCTCCAGGTGTTGCTGTTGTTGGCCGAGGTTGGTTGGTAACTCGTGGCAGGGTCACCGTCCTTGTCCTGGATGTTGAGATCATTATGAATTCTTAAGCTGCAAGGTCTCTTCTTGTTGGTTTATGTCCTTCATGACTGGATAGTCTGTTGAGTCATCAGGATGAGGGATATATGTGGAACTATAGCCCAAAGGATATTCATCATCTGATTCCCATCCAGTTGCCAATATTTGTTGGCACTCTTCTTCAAAACTTCTTCCAGAGTAGTGGCTGGGAGCATTGTATTTGACAAGATAATCATATTTGCCACTAGGCTGGCCAAGCGTATCCCAAATATCCTTATCTGTAAGAATATTGAGGTCTTCCTTCTGGCTTCTTTGCTCTTCGAGGTATAACAGTGTCTCTTGCTGATTACGGGATTCATTCTGAATAGATTGAGCGTCATCGTCAGATTGCATAATTTCATTATCATTTGCATCATAATGAACTGGATCTGCACGTTGAGCGGCTACATAATCTCCGAATCGCAGGCTGAAATTTCCTCCAGGTAAATTTCGAGAGACAGCTGTTGTAGGCTGTTGAGGATGTATCCTTCTGACTGGTGGTCGGATAATCCGGTTATATGAATGGCTGGTGATGCCATTTGGATTGAAGAATGCTTCAGTAGTCTTTCAGAGGAAAATGGATTTATGCTTCAAGGGCACTGAAGATTACATTGCCGTCTACATTGATGATATCCTGGTTTTCTCTCCAGATGAAAGGACGCATGTGAATCACATAAAATCCATGTTGGAAATTTGCAAGAAGAATGGGCTTATTCTAAGTCCAACGAAGATGAAAATTGCCAAAGCCCAGATAGATTTTGTGAAGGACGTCCCCTTAGTCGTTGAAGTGCGTTTCTTGCTCTTCTTTGCAAAACATAGTTTCGTCGTTGGTCCTGACGATACTCTCTGATCTGATCTTCAAATAGTGGTGCTCCAGGTGTTGCTGTTGTTGGCCGAGGTTGGTTGGTAACTCGTGGCAGGGTCACCGTCCTTGTCCTGGATGTTGAGGCCATTATAAAAGGAAAGCCACATAATTCTCACGTTAGAATTGACAAGAGAAAGTATTTACAAAAGTCAAAACATTGTAAATGCTACTTATGTGGAGAGGAGGGACAGCTGCTTTGCAGTACAAAAATGATGATTCAGATGATTCTTTGGAGTACCATGACCCTTTGGGATATCAACATGATGAAGAAGAATCTGACTCAACACTTAACATAATCGCTATGATGGAGGAAGCTGATAGAGAAGCAGAAACTGAGTATCCGCAGATCGCAAAGATAAAGGCTTTAATTGAGAAGAGACAACAGAAGCAGCCTCATTATCTTTTATCCTCATCATCAGCGGTAACCTCTCATTATAATCCTCCGCAGGATTCAATGATGGGTCCCCCAGGTTACTATAAAGAACCAGGAGATGAAGACTCAGATGCAATTTATTCAGTATCTGAAGGGATTGATGATACTGAACAAATCGGAGGAGGTTTGACAGAGTTTTCACTCCTGATGGTATGGACAACTTGTCAGAGGAAGTTGTTAGGCCGATTCCTGGTGCTTCAGTTGTTTCAGATGCTTTGAGAGCTTCAAGGTACACCAGTTCGTTTTGACTCATTCAACGAGTGCTCGCTTGAGCTTTTGAAGAATCCCTTCAATCGACTTTAGTTGTTGTTCCTCTTTGTTCCACGACTTACTTTCTAGAAAAACCTGGGTTAAGGAATTAATTCATTTTTCAAGTTTCTCTATCTTCTCACCAAGTTGCAGGACTGTAGCTTCTAAGGACTGAATTTGAATTTGTTGACTTCTAAATTCTTTCAGGTTAACTTTACTTGAGAGGCAGACACGATCGTAAATTACAGCAATATTATGAGCTAGTTCTTTAGTTGATGGCTTTTCAGTTGAGGCAAGATCAAGGTAGTTCATAATCAGTTTCTTTAATAAAACAGTAGATCATAAACCATCACGATCCAGATGGATAGCCTTCACGGATTACATTACTGGCTTAGGCATAGATGTGTCATTAGAACATATTAATGGTTCTGATAATACTCTTGCTGATGCATTATCCAGGCTAGTTTATTCACTGTTTTCTATTACAGAATGGCCAACCAAGGAGGAACCGGAAGATATGGAGGTACTAATAGGCCTTCAGCAACTCGAAGAACTTATCCAGCCCTTCAGAGACATGAACGGATCATCCTCTCCCAGACAGAGCCATCAATTGATAGATGAGCCAGATTATGACAGGTTCATAATTCAGGCATATTATATTATTATGAGCCTTCAACAGAATGGCTATTTCATTCCACTCATATTAATCCTCATTTTGAGCAGCAATTTGAAGAATTAATGATGCAGCTCAAAACCTGTGGAATCATAGGCGAAGACCCTATGAAGTACTGGTCGCACAATCTATAAGTGAGTATGAAGGATTTGATGCTGTTCAATTTATCAAGATGGTGCCACATGCAACCAGGCCAATCCGAGCAACCGATGGAGCTGTTGGTTATGATCTAACCTCAATAGCTATGTATGTTATTCCAGCCTATGGAAGAACATTAATTTCTACGGGTTTAGCCATGGAAATACCCTGTGGAATGTATGGAAGAATTGCCCCAAGATCAGGGCTTGCCTTGCTACACGGCATCGATGTTGGCGCAGGAGTAATTGACCCTGATTACAGAGGAGAAATCAAGGTCCTTCTCTTTAATCATAATCAGGAGGAATTTGAAGTGCGCGCTGGTGACAGAATTGCTCAGATCATCTTTGAGAAGGTTTCTTTACCAAGAATGGTGGAGAAAGATGCTCGCAATCTCTGTGACATTCGGAATGATGAAAGACATGATGCTCGCAACTGGAGGAGCACTGAAGGATTTGGCAGCACAGGGAAAGCTGCTTTACAATACAAAAATGATGATTCAGATGATTCTTTGGAGTACCATGACCCTTTGGGATATCAACATGATGAAGAAGAATCTGACTCAACACTTAACATAATCGCTATGATGGAGGAAGCAGATAGAGAAGCAGAAACTGAGTATCCGCAGATCGCAAAGATAAAGGCTTTAATTGAGAAGAGACAATAGAAGCAGCCTCATTATCTTTTATCCTCATCATCAGATGTAACCTCTCATTATAATCCTCCGCAGGATTCAATGATGGGTCCCCCAGGTTACCCACCAGCAACAGGACAAGGTCCTTCAATCAGTGTTTCTTCTGGAAATTGGGCTACTTTGGTTACAACATGTGGCTGTAGCTTTATCTTCCCTTCCCCAATTGTTGACCCAAGAAAATCTATCTGGGCTTTGGTTGCCATCTGCAATGCAGCAGACCGGAGCTATGTTTATTATTCCACAATCTCTTGGAAAGTTCGATGATGTTTTCATGAGATGGGAGTCAATCACAAGGTCATATGTCGCTTCCCAAGGATTTACAGATGTTCAAGATAAACTTCTTTTTATAGAGAATCTTCTTGGAGAAACAGAGAAGTTAATCTGGACACAATGGCGAATGAGGTATGCAGATGAATATGCTAACCTTGTTGCTATAGGCGATGGAAATGAAGGTACACAGAACATCATCTCTCAGATGAGAACTGTGTTTACTCTTGAAGACCCTTACCAAGGATCAACTCTTATGCAAGAAGAAGCCATCACCAGCCATTCATATAACCCAAGAGGTGTCCAGAAAGCAGTCCAATCAATTGAATCAGGGTGCATGGCAACCTGATGAAATCCACTTTTCAAGTCAAACTTGGAATAAATACGGCTATGGCCCACCTTTGCCATTATGGTATTTATACCAGGTAGACTGTATTGATCCTTGTGTGTATTATCATTTAGCCTTTTATAATTACACACCATTCGTTCCTTGCCACGTTTCTCATCTTTCGTGACGGGATCAATGTACGTACCAGAATTTACGATGAAAGCTGTGGTACGATGTCGACTTTTACTTGGTCAGATTACCTTTAATTGTAGAAGCTGATCAATATGTTGCTGTTGTTGGCCGAGGTTGGTTGGTAACTCGTGGCAGGGTCACCGTCCTTGTCCTGGATGTTGAGGCCATTATAAAAGGAAAGCCACATAATTCTCACGTTAGAATTGACAAGAGAAAGTATTTACAAAAGTCAAAACATTGTAAATGCTACTTATGTGGAGAGGAGGGACAGCTGCTTTGCAGTACAAAAATGATGATTCAGACGATTCTTTGGAGTACCATGACCCTTTGGGATATCAACATGATGAAGAAGAATCTGACTCAACACTTAACATAATCGCTATGATGGAGGAAGCAGATAGAGAAGCAGAAACTGAGTATCCGCAGATCGCAAAGATAAAGGTGTACCTTGAAGCTCTCAAAGCATCTGAAACAACTGAAGCACCAGGAATCGGCCTAACAACTTCCTCTGACAAGTTGTCCATACCATCAGGAGTGAAAACCCTGATTCGTCAGAATAACACCATAATTGAACTTTGTCAAAACAGGTTGAAGCACTTGAAGGAAGAATCCGAGCTTTGGAATTCGTCAGAATAACACCATAATTGAACTTTGTCAAAACAGGTTGAAGCACTTGAAGGAAGAATCCGAGCTTTGGAAGCCCAGAAGTCTCCAGCACTTTCAACCAACGATCTTGTTGCAAAAATCGCAAAACTCTCACTCGGACCAAAGAAGAAGCCAAAGGAAGGGAAGGGACTTCTCAGAGTTCATCGTGATCCAAACAAGTTGCTACAAGACGAGCTTGATAAACTCAGGCTTAAGAATTCATAATGGCCTCAACATCCAGGACAAGGACGGTGACCCTGCCACGAGTTACCAACCAACCTCGGCCAACAACAGCAACACCTGGAGCACCACTATTTGAAGATCAGATCAGAGAGTATCATCAGGACCAACGACGAAACTATGTTTTGCAAAGAATGTAATAACAATCCAGACCCGTCAATCAGTGAATCTCTTGG